AAGGCAAAGGAATTACATGCGAGGGCAGCGACCGCACGGGAGCCTCACAGCAGCCCGGTAGAACAGAAAGAGCGACAGGGGGAGCGGGTAGACTGACCAAGTGACGGGAGAAGTAGAATAGACAGAGTGACTACGTTCACAAGGGACAGACTGAACCTATGCCGCTGAATAGAAACACCCACCGCCCCGGCCACCACATGAAAACCACAAGCATCGTAGGCTCAAAAGCGTTTACAAGTACTTAAAGTCCGTTTACAAGATCATGAGCTTCAAGTACAACACCCTGAGCATAAGCCCAAGGGCATTTCATCGTTACGGTCATTACCTCCGAAGGAGGTGCAGACGAGCCGGAGGTTCGGCTGTGGGAAGCCACACTCAAGAATCCTCGATTCAGTCACGACGTTTACAAGGAGTAAACGTACAACAGGAGGAGCAAAACGAAGTGCGACGGACACCACATCACAGTCACACCAAAGAACAATCGTGGATATTGACCGAGTGACGCATACCAACACAAGCACACAACACCCCAAGTCACTCGGTCATACAACCCACACCCAAACAGTACCCGTTGGGCCCAGGAGCGGAGCGACTTGATCGACCGGAGGGAGTTTTGCACGAGTGGAACGAGTCAAAGGAACCGAGCTGGAGGCGAGGATTGTATGTGACGGGAGGTCACTTACCCCAAAGGCCCCCTATTACTTAAGTTTGGTTTATAGGGGGCCATGGCACAACGGCCCAACGTTCTAGAGCAGTGTGTTACTACAAAGTAGATACGCTGCAGTCTTTAGCACGAAAGTGACAGGAAGGAACGAAGTGGGTACTAAGAGCCAATCGAACGGAGGCAGATGGCGCGTCACATGTCTGTTTGCGTAGCTTACATAGACACTCCACACTTGGACGGGCAAGAGTCCCGGACACAACTCATCATACGGGAGGTATAAGAAGGGCTGCGATGCCCGCTCCCTTTTTTTCCCCATCCCGCGAGGGATCTCCTTTTCCCTTCATTTTGTGCCGGCAGGGCGGATCACACGTGACCCAACCGGAGTATAAGAGGGGACCCCCTCGCACTTTTCCTGAGTGAGCAAACTCAGGCTTCCCTTTTTCACCTTTGTGTGCAAACAGGACGGAGCCCGCTTTCGAACCGCGAAAGTGCATAGAACCAAGAGTCCAAGTACGAGAGGACGCTTCCCGGGAGGACACAATACCAACAGAGTTCTACTCACGAGAGTAAGTGGAGTGCATGACGGACAGACTCGTTCCCGTCTTTTCTTCCCTGATTCGAACGGCCGGAGACAGATTCTTGATTGCGGGAGCCACAATGGGTTAACCCTTTCTACACATGGCCCGTGGGTGCGAGCTCACGGCCGGGGACTTCGTCCGTTGGACAATGGACTGATTTCGTCCCTTCGTCTGTGAGACATCCGCTTATCCTTTTGGACTGAATAGCGGTGGAACGGAGTGTTCTGCCTTGGACTTTGTGTTGGCATGGAGCCTACACTCTCTTCTTCACCTGTCGAAGCTGCGTTGACAACTTGTTCATGCTGCACGCATGCATCACGCGCCCCGTTGAGAGACCTTGAATGGTGCCATCGGGGTTTTTTCTTCGATGGAAGACATCAAACTCTGCTATGTCTTTGGACATGATACGAGAGCTGTGGGAGAATTTGGGCGAACGAGGGTTCCTCATCCAACCGGCGGTTGTCTGGAATACTGGTGCGTATGAGGCGCTTGCCAAGGTCGAGCCTAGCGCCAGTGCTCCGGCCATGACATCTTTGCTTTACCCTTCTGCGGAAAGCGCCTTCTTCGACCGTGCAAAGAGCAGAGTGTGGCGTTTGCGATGTTGCTGGGACGCTGTGCAGTGGGACGTGCCGTTCTGGTTAGAAGGCTGTCGGTCGTGTGACGAGAGTGTGGTCCTGGGGGAAACAGATTTGGGAAAGCTTTTGCTTGACGAGATCCGAGAGGCTGCTGAAAGAGGCAAACGAAGTGTGGACGAGCCACCGGGGGAACCATCGTACTTTCCGTTTTAGGTATTCATGACGGCCTCATCCGACTTGATCGCCTTGACGTGGCAACAACGCTAGAATGAGATGATATATGAGAACAGATGATAGTTGACTTGACCTGATCCTCTCCATCAGGAATTCCCGACTACAGACAGATAAAGGGACCTCTGGCTACAGACGAGTGGACTAGAGTGAAGTGATAGCCACACAAACACCGTAGACCTAAGCCCGTTTACAAGTGAATGATACTCCAAGCGCTACCAACCCGAACCTCCAATCCCACTCATGACTACGGAATCCACGCCCGAAGGGTGTGCGCACGGGCCGAAGGACCGGGTGCGAACAGCAGCGAAGCGTCATACTCACAATCATCGATCGAACAAGGCGTTTACAAGATGCTTCACCCAGGAACAAGAGGAGTAGGCGTCCGTGAGGGCGCACGACGGACACTGACATCCACATGCACACACACGAGCGGAAGTCACCACCTCACACAAACACCGTTGGGCCACCCCGACCGGAGGGAGGTGCTTGAGCGGAGCGAGAACGGACGACAGGATGGAGGACACTGGTACGAGCAGGCAGCGAGGACCTTGTAGGAGTGAGGGAGTCACTGCTACTCTTGGGCCCCCTATTACTTAAGTTTGGTTTATAGGGGGCCATGGCACAACGGCCCAGCCCATAGGTCGCTTGCGTCAGCTTGCAGACAGTTCTAGGCCGAAAGGAGAGGAGCGGATGCAGGCAGTCATAAGAGCCAATCAACCGGAGGAAAGATGGTACGTTCAGATGCAGGTTCCGCCAGGTTCCATGCACTCCTTCGTTAAGTGGAAGGGGCAACCCGGACAGCAGTGGGGACTCACGCCCAACGGAGTACTTAAAGGCAGAGGCTGCCGCCCATATCGAGCTGAACCGGAGTGGGTTCTTTTCTTTTTCCTTTACCTTTGCTTAGACAATCAACGGAGTGATCACCTTCTCCAGTGGAATGACCTCAGGGTATTCCTTTTTTTGACTCTTCTGGAGAGTCTTCATTTGTTGAGAGAGCATGCATCACCCTAGAAAGGGTTCTGTCATCGGGACGATTCCATTCGTCGAGTTGGAGACGCACGATGGAGCATTTAAAGGGTGTATATGCCCGTTCGTGGTTGATTTTGTTGGGCACAATCTTTCCCTCCTCTCTTTGTACCCAAGCAGCGATTGCTTGGTTGGCCCTGTGAAGGGCTCGTTGTTCTTTGATCCAGCGGAGTCCGGACGTGAGTCTTTTGCTCTTGACAGCAGCTATATGCAGAGCAGCATGGCTTTGGACGCTTGCCCATCTCCATCCACGGCAAGGCCGGGTCACTGGTGTTGCAGGCATCGGTTCTGTTCTTATCTCCGGATGAAGCGCTTTTGTGAGCGCTGGGTCTTCATCCTCTCGATCACGAGACACAGCCTTTCGGCTACCTCGCTTTTGGAGAAACTGAGGGACTGTCTGGGTCCCAGGGACTTTTTCTACTTGGTGGCGCAGCGTGCGCAGGATGGCCTCTTTTCCCACAGGATTTTATTGCATGCTGGGCCGAATGACCGAGGGTTTAGTCGTGAAGACTGCTCCAGACTGGAGACTTGGCTCGGACCTTCTCTTGTTCGGACTGGTGTTTTCGAGTTGGCTGAATCCGACCCGATTGTCGCCCCTGTATCTTGCTGCGCGGAGAGGATGTTGACTCAAGTGCCATTGTGGACTTCTTTTATGGCCAAGGACGACCTGGATACTTTTGGCGACGAAGGGCTTCTGAATATGCTTCTCACTGAGATACAGGATGGTGGTGTTTTCGATGGATAGTTTGGTCGCTGGAGTTGTATGCATGGATTCGACTGTAGTCGATGCAACGCCCCGGTTGAGGTTGACTTACCGGATTGGGACATTACCAGGGTGGTTTTCCATATATGGAAAGGTGTGCAATCCATACTGGAGTATCGCCCCACATTTATTGCAAGTATTGCAATACACCTTTCCATTCTTGGAGTAATCAAACATACACTCCTGATTTTCAAACATACACTCCCGACCTAAGCCCCATTTGGAAGAAGACCCCGCCACCAAAATTTGGCGCGCGCTTTCCCAACGCCCTGGCTTGCCGTGACCATCGCCGCCGCCCACCCGCCCAGCCACCTGCCCTTTTGGCCGCCATCTGCATTTTCGCAATCATCAACAATTGAAGCTATCACCACTTGACTCAACACAACAGCAACGCCGCCGCCGCCTACCGCAATAGTCACGTCTAGTCAATCGTCCCGATGAATTCGACCGAAAGCAATACCAACAGTAGCACCGAGGCTATCACGGAGATGTCTTTCGATACGTATGATGAGGCGCTTGAAACACTCAAAGCTACGCAAGAGCTCCTTGGCTACGTCGTAGTCGTTGCAAATAGCAAGAATACCGGCAAGCCTAGGCGCAAGGAAGCCAATATCCGCTGTGAATACAGTGGTCAGTATAGGCCCTGGGACGAGGCAGAGGGTATATACAAGACGTCATCCAAGAAGTCGGGATGTGACTTTCGCTGTTACATCCGCTTCTACCGACGTTGCAATGCATTCAAAGTCACCATCAAGCACGGCTCTCATAACCACGAACCTCTATTTGAGCCAATTGCTAACCCCATCGTCCGTCAACGAAGCCAACGCAAATTCGGCATCGAGCGTCTTCATAGCCTCGTCGAGGGCTTAGCAAGAACGTCAATAACAAGAGCAGGGATATCGTGGATGCTATCCGACAGGAATATCCTGAGCTCCTTATTACCGATTCTGATATACACTTCATCCAGCTGCAACTTCGTGCCTTCCGTTACGGCGCCTCTACATCTACACAAGCCTTCCTCGATGTACTCAAAGATGCTAAAGCAAAGGGGAAATCAGCTACTATGCAGTTGACCGTGGCCCTAATGGGAAGGTTTGGAGGTTTTTCTGGACATACGATGACTGTATTGCTGACTGGAAGCGTAACCCGAGCTCCTTATCATGGATAATACGTATAAGGTCAACCGCTTTAACATGCCGCTTCTACAGATCATTGGCACAACAGGGCTACACAAGAGCTTCAGTGTAGGCTTTGGCCTCACTGCCAAGGAAGACGAAGGCGCGTTCCAATGGATCCTCTCACAGTTGCGTGAGGCTGGTCGGCAGGCTGATATTCCGGACCCGGGCGTTGTGATTACCGACTTTGATACCGCCCTGAAGAACGCCCTTGACTCTATCTTCCCATCAACGCAACAACAAGTGTGCGTTTGGCATATGATGAAGAACGTGATCCTTCACATCAAGAAGAAGTGGGAAGGATCCCTCGATGGCACCGAGATTGGCGGAGATAGGCCAGAACAGGAGACTCGCCTCGCTGCAGCAGCCGCTCTCGACGACCCTATACAGGCAGATAATGCCATTGACGAGGACCGACCTATCGACCGTGCCACTGATTACCAGATTCAACATGCCTCACAACTGGCAGATCAGTGCGTTGAGCAACAAGATGATCGTGAAGATGACGATGGAAACCCAATACTACCCCCGGCTCCAAGGCGGACTTTTGAGCACACAGCTGACGGTATCCGTGATGCCTGGGTTTCAGTCTTTAGGGCTCGCACGGCTGAGGAGTGCAGAGATCAGTGGGATCTACTCTGTATAGAGTTTTCGGATCAGCCAGGTAACCCTAGCCCTAACTACCCTCCTACTCTAACCTTTTACTAAATAGCTCCTCTTATAGCTCTCGTTAATTACCTCCGTACAACCTACTGGCCATGGCGTGCCCAGTTTTCCACCTACGCTATCCAACAGTACCGAAATTATAACATTACGGTAACTTCCCGTGTGGAGCACACATCACGAGTTGAAGTCACGATTACGCAACCGCTTCATTGACCTCCATCAGCTACAAGAGCACATCAGAGGGCTCGTTACCCATCGGCAAAAGAAGCATCGCGAGAAGCTTCAATCCGAGTTTGCAAGAGCTAGAGTTGAATGGGCCAAGCAGACGATTATGAAGTCACTGCACCGAAAAATTGGCTGGCAGCCGATGAAACAGATCTTCAGGCAAGTTAGGCTAGCCCGGGCTGAGCTTGCCGATAATCGAGGCATGCCTACGATTTGTACGGGTGCTTTCACGATGCAATGGGGGCTGCCCTGCCGGCATACAATCCGCGATTTGATCCAGGCTGACGCGGCCGCCCTTATACCATTGCATCTTATTGATAACCACTGGCGGGTTTACGGCGTGACTGTAAGTATCTTGCTCCAGCCATAAGTACTATACTAATTTACTAGCAGCCTGAACAACAGCAATATATCGATGCAGACCACGAAGCCGATCCTGACGTTGTCCAGCCTCGCCGGCGTGGAAACAGTAGACGCGAGGTATCCTCCACTAGAGGCATCTACGGGCCGGATCCTTAGTGCTTGGGAGCAAGAGGAGCATAGAGCCAACCCAGAGCTCGTATCACGGCCACCAGAGACGCAAAAGAAGAAGAGGAAGGGCACAGGCACCACTATCATGAACAAGAGGTCGAATACACTTGCTTCCGTGAGCAGCCGGGTTGACGATCTTGCCCAGCAGATCGGTGATTTCATCAAGTCACAAGCAGCAGCAACGCCGGTGCTGTTATCACAGGTGCCCTCACTTCCACAGGTGCCGCTGGTGTCACAGGGATACCAAACGACGATGCCCTCACTTCCACAGCCGGCGCCGCCGTCACAGGATACTATGTGATGCCACCGCCTACACCAATTGTGCCTGTATACGTACAGGCGCCGGCGCCGTCACAGTGGCAAGAACCGCCTCCCTCGTCACAGGCACATCACGACGGCTTCATGTGGGCACAGCCGCCGGCACAGTCTCACGAGACGGCTACGGAGCATTTCCAGCAGCTAGGGGATCAGAGGGACACGGCACCATACAAAACTAGCAGGCAGGCCGGTCACAAATTCGTTCCTTACGTGCCTCGCCCTCCGCCGCGTCGGACGGATCCTTCCTCACAGTCACAGTCACAGTCACAGAGGTAGGCAAAGACCTTCCGCCATTATATGCATATTGTATATATATCGGAAGATCGATCGGGCCGGGCTTATTGATAGCTTCAATTGAATGACTCTAAGGGATGCATCTTCCGGCGTTGGTAATAATTGCAGATAGAATCCATATATGTCAGACAATAGTGTCCCACACCTCGCACGTGACAGCGGTTGATCTTTGTGGCATCAGTCAATTGATGAGAATTATCTAAAGAACAAAGGAAAGGAAAAGAATTGGATGCACACATTCGTGCAACAATATATACCCCGATCATTGCGGCGAAGCCGCGGCGCAGCAGTGGCAGTGATCGAGCATAAGGTTTCAGGAACTGACACGGGCGTGATATGCGACAATATATCTAGGCAGGCAGCCGCGGCAGCGGCGTTGGGAAAGCGCGCGCCAAATTTTGGTGGCGGGGTCTTCTTCCAAATGGGGCTTAGGTCGGGAGTGTATGTTTGAAAATCTGGAGTGTATGTTTGATTACTCCCATTCTTGGTCCGTGCGCATCCCGCAACAGCTCACCTATATGGTCTCGGCAAAACGTGCCAAACACGACATGAATCAATGAAAAATCAAGGAACAGTTAACGTGAACGTAATGACAGACGACCGGTCAAGGGGATGCCAAGCAGAAATTTGCTCCTTTGCAGGAAACAGGCGTAGAAGTTGAGCCAGGATTTTACCCAAAATCTGGGGACCCGCCACCACCCTCGGCCCCTTGCAAGATATCGTTCTTGAGCCAATGCTTTAAACATTCTCCCTTTTCGACTTGTTTCGCGTCCAATTGGGCTCTTTCCCATGAGATTGTGCGACGCGCCCCTGAGAACACCCGCTCAGGTTCATCACTCATCGCCGGCATTGATAGGATGTCTATGGCCATTTGTGATAGCTTGGGCCATCGTTTTCTCTGTTGCTCTTGAAGCCACCATGACAAGGCCGTCGTCGGCGTAATGTCGTACGGATCACATGAAATGTAATCTTCGTACTCGTCCTGGCTTGACGGTCGAGTGCAATTCTGCAGGTTCCTTGAAATGCGATCAAACGCGTCAAGGTCCTCGTCATCATCGTCATCTAGTAAATGTTGCGAGAGGAGCCATCCACAGTGTCTCGGTATGTGAGCCAAAGGTCTTTGACCTGTTTGAACGCAGGTTTTGCCACTTCTTCTTCCAATTTGCCTGGATGTATGTTGTGCGATAGCTGGGATGAAGGATCAAGGCAGCTGCATAATAGGGCGATGCTTCTGTCTTGCTATAATATTTGTCAAAGACTTCCCACCCTCGTTTGATCCTAAAGGACAGCTCGGTGTCTGATTTGTACGTGACCTATTGCACCATCTCAGCGCTTGCACAAGGAGATCAGAGGAATGGAAGGCATGGTACCAGGGCTTCATCAAAGCATCGGATCAAGACGTCCATCGTGAAGAGCACTTTGTCCAGGGTCGCATGATCCCCTTGTGTTGCTAATGTCGCTCGGGCGAACGGTTGAAGGATCTTCTCAATTATTCGGAGCCGGGCCCAATCTTCCGGCAATAGAAAATCCGCAGAAAGATCTTCGAAATGATTCTTGGTGTAGGTGTCCAGAGCGCTGGCAGTTTCCTGCTGAGTGGCAACATGCAGCATCTGATACCAGCTATTCCACCTCGTACGATTGTCAAGTGGAATGCCCTCTCAGCGAGTTCCATAAACTCTCCACTGCGTCCTGATGAACTCCGGATGTTGACAACCAGGTTGTGGAGCTTACCAAGTGGTCCAAGGCGGCGAAATTCGGTGCGCTGCCTTTGAACTTTGCCAGGTCATCTGCGTCTTCGCATATTTCGCCCTCTTTCAAGTCAATAGAATTCTGGAACAGGAAAGCTTGAACTGCCAAGTTGATAACGTGGCCTAGGCATCGGAGGCGGTGAACTTCAGGATCCCATTTGACGCCCTCTTCCTTGAGATACGTGCTCACTGCCCGGCAGAGGGTGTCATTCGTGCTCGAATTATCCCCAACGATGCTTCCAAGGCGTCGCAGAATACCAAAGTCCCGCAAGATGGGAAGAAGTGTAACGAATTGCTCCTCCCCGGAATGGTTCGCCACAGGCCGAAGTGCAAGGAGAGCTTTCCGTCGTGCTTCTTGTGCGTGGTCAACAAAGTGGGAGCAAACTCCGAGAAGAAGGAGCCGATTGGGGGACGTCCAAATGTCAAGCGAGAGGTGAACCTTGGATTTTGCTGACTGGAGCTTCATTCGCACGATATCCTTGGCCGACTGGAAATGATTGTCGATAATTCGTGGAATAGTCGAGTGGGCGGAAGGAGATGGTCCTTCGCGACCGGGTTCAAGGTCGAAATGAAGAGGTGAAATTCGCGGATTCGACAATTCGATAAGGAAGGTTTCGTGCGACGATCAGCCAAGCTAAGGCTTTGTTTATCTTGTCTTGGTCCAGGTAGCGTTTGAAGACCTCCGACTCAATCTCCGTTGTGTGGCCCAATTCCCGTGCTTGCTGGTAGAGTTGCTCAAACCCCTCAAAGATGGATGATTGAAGAGGGGTCAAATCTTCCACGACTCGAATATCGTGCTTACCCTCCAGATGTTTTCGAAAGTTAGTGGTAACTGAAGTGCTGTACGGGTTCGTCTGGGGACAATGGCTGCAATAGAGAAGACGATTTCGGCCCTTAAACTCTTCCTCCCCCTCTGCTGCAACGCGAGCATGCTTCCACGTTGCGATAGCCGCTTTGCCTCTTGTATTGCGAGATCTTGATGTCGTAGAGTCCGACAATATAGATTCAGCATCGAAGAAGGATAGCACACTTGCAGAATCCATAGTTCGACAACTGATTCGTCCGACGCGTTGGTGCAAAGTGGTGGGAAAGCGATTTGTGTTTGTGTGGGAATTAGCGGGGTTCAAGGCCCTCAGACCCTGGACGATGGAGCTGTAGGGGTCCCGGTCAGTGGCGCAATTTGGCCAATTATTGACTGAGCATTGAAATACTATGGATCCATATCCATACCCTGTCCATGCCATAGTATGGAAAGGGTATTTCCATACTTGGGTATGGAAAACCACCCTGGACATTACGATACCTTCCACTTCCGATCAGACCGCACACACTTGGAGCAATGCACACAAGTAGATTCGTACTCGTCACCTGGACGCACACGGATTGAACTCGAACGCCTCGTGACTCGCTGCAGGAAAGCATCAGAGAGTGACATGTAGAGCAGTTCAGAGAGATAGACGAGAGAATGTATTCCAAGGGCTACAGACAAAATTATATAAGATAGTAAACCAGACATCAACCCTCCACGTAGACATCCACCGTTTACAAGAATTCTCCCAAGCGTTTACAAGATAATACTCTCCAAGGGCTACCAACCCTTACCAACAATCCCTTCCGAGATACGAACACAACCCCCCCGAAGGGGGGTGCGCACGCGCCGAAGGGGCGGGTGTGGAGAGCCACACTCACGAGACTTCAATCGAGCATGTCGTTTACAAGGGAGTCGACTCAGCACAGGAGGAGCAAGCATCCGGGAGGGTGCGCGACGGACACTCAACCGCTCCAACACCCGCTCAAGCCAGACTCAAGTCACTCCACCACCCAGAACACACACAAACAATACCCGTTGGGCCCAGGAGCGGAGCGACTTGATCGACCGGAGGGAGTTTTGAACGACCAGAGGGAGGTCAACAGTACCGAGCCGGAGGTGAGGGACACAAAGAGACGGGAGGTCGCTTTGACTGCCGCGCCCCCTATTACTTAAGTTTGGTTTATAGGGGGCCATGGCACAACGGCCCAGCCCCAGTACATAGGAACGAAGATCCTTGCAAAAGGGACGCAGAGAAGTACTAGACCGAAGGGACGGGAAGGAGCGAAGGTAGTGCTAAGAGCCAGGCGACCAGGGGGGGAGACGGCCGTTACTGATTGGATAGTTTGCCCGCAGGGCTTACGTATCCACCACTCCACAACTGGACGGGTTCAGAACCCGGACACTGTACGCGTCGGAGACAAATAAGAAGAGGGCTTCGCCCACTTCCAGGAACCGAGGATGGTTTTTTTCGTTTTCTACTCATTTTCCCGGAGGGCAGTCAGCGGAGTGATTTGATTCCCTGCGGAATCACCTTTGCCTGTTCCCGACTCTTTGAAGGAGTCCACACGCAACGCTCTGCCCACCCGGCATCCGAGCCCAAGCGGGGGAGAGACACGTCACACAGGATTGTGCAACCGGTGGAGGTTTTTCGCCATGGGTTTTCACTTGTGCTGGAGCACAGCTCTTGTTACTTCTTATCCAGCGATCGAGTAGCGCCGGCTAGGTCTGACATCGCACCCACGGAGTCTCGCTTTGGACGGGAGTCTTTCCTCCCCTTGTCAGTGGGGAGGCAGCATGGAACTGCCACCTTTGCACGCGACATGTCCTGCGGACGATCTTTCTGGCTTCATGCCGAGGCCCTGGCTTTGTTACTGCTGCAGTCACCGGTCTTGCTCTGCCTCCCGAGCCCAGCGCTGGTGCAAACGTTGGGTCTTCATCCACTCGGTCACGAGACACAGTCTGTCGACTTCTTCGCTTTCGGAGAAACTCAGCGGATGCCTAGGTCCCAGAGACTTCTGTTACTCGGCGGCACAGTCTGCACGGGGCGGCCTTTTCCATCACAGAGTGTTGCTCTACCTAGACCCGGACAACGGAGGCTCGGCTCCAAGGATGGCGATAGACTGGAGACACTTCTGGCGGCAGCCCCTCCTATGGTCGCCTCGGAGAATGCGGGACTCTCGAGGTTCATCCTTGCACCGCTTTCTTGCTGCGTCGGAAAGATGCAGACGCAAGTGTCCCTTTGGCTCCGGGACATGATGAGGGAGGATGTCGTCCACTCGGGTTCTCGTCAGTTGTTGGACCATTTTTGGGACGACATGGTTGACACGGGCATATGGGAGGTATGACGGGCTTGATGCAGTCGTGCAGCTTTTTCTTTCGTTTGGTGGTCCTTTTCGAACACAGCGTCGGCGCTGCGGGTGTACTCGGCTTGTAGAGGCCGACTTGCTCGATTGAGATTGAGTAGTTTCCGTTTTCGGATGTCACGATAGCTTCACCTCTCGAAGTGCAGATAGTATGCGCACATGGATCTCTTAATATTGAAGTGAACTTGACTTTTCTTCGTCACATGCTCTCTCCTTCTATGATCACACCCACCCCGCTACAGATCAACACCACCCATATCGTAGACCTAACCCGTTTACAAGCTCACCCAATCCCGTTTACAAGGGACAGACTTGAAGATCACCTCCGGAGGACTCCTTCACGACTATGGAGGCAATCCCCCCAAAGGGGGGTGCAGACAGGCCGAAGGGCTGGCTGTGAAGAGTCACACTCACGATATTCGATTGAGTACGACGTTTACAAGCCGGTCTTCACGCGACGGGAGGAGCAAGCGTCTGAAAGGCGCGCGACGGACACTACACTGGACGACATAAGACGAGAGGCTTGACCGAGCGATCGTAGAGAGCAAGGGAACGAGTGAGCCAGGCGAACACAATTGAAAAGTACCGGGCACGTACGAAACACATACAAACAGTACCTCTGGGCCACGAACGGAGTGAGTTGATCGACCGGAGGGAGAGTTCGACGGAGGAGAAGGTACACGACCTGGAGGGGAGTGATGGGTGTGACGGGAGGTCACTCTGTGCCTTTGCCCCCGAATACTTAAGTTTGGTTTATAGGGGGCCATGGCACAACGGCCCAGCCCATAGACAGCTTACGTTAGTATGACTGTAGTACTAGCACGGATTGACAGGGGGGAAAGAAGTGAGTCATAAGAACCAATGGAGCGGAGAGAACATGGTACGTCACACTTGGTCGGGTTGCGCAGCTTCCACGACTGCTCCACACATGGCCGGGTTGGTGCAACCCGGACAACAACTCACGGGAGGTATAAAGAAGGGTCGAGGCGCCCGCTCATTTTCCATCAAACCTGAGAAAGGTTTCTTCTTTGTTGTAAGGTATTTTACGAAGTGCCGCACAGAAGCACGGACGAAGCGACGAATTCTCAGTGGAATCGTACCTTGAACTCGTCTTATCGAGTTGATCTGCGTGGGAGCGTTCTGGTCAAGGGACCACCCGACTTTTTCTCCCTGGAAACATTGCTCTTGGCTAGAGCTTGCCTTAGTCTCCATAGAACAGGACGCGGTCCGGTGGAGACTCATCATGGACTCGTGGCAGTCTTTCTACTCGCAGACCGAGCCGACGGGATGTGCATCGCCCGCCTCATTGCCTTGGGAGGACAAGGTGTTATTCCCATCTAAGTATGCGGATCTGGACTGCGTCGCCTGCGCTTGCCAGTGCTGCGGCAAGGAGTTTCGCAACTGTGTCCGGCCTCGGGGAGTTCCCACCCTGTCCCTTTTTCGTCCGACCGGAGACGAGGTCCACATATCCGGGCCAAGCGACCCGGCATTTCTGCTCTCTTTTCCCTCCCTCGATGCCCTGCTGGCATGCTGGCTGTCTCTAATTGACAGGCTGGAGGGTTTCGCCCATGTATGGTTTTCTTGGAACTGTCATGCGGGGCGTCCCCGCTCGTTCTCTGGACACATGAACGATACGGAGTGGGATTCCTTCGTGCGTGAGACCTGGGGTCAAGGCGACTGTTGCATGCTCCTCCTCATTGAATCCCCTCGGGGATTTGAGGGCGTCTGGACGGAAGCCAAGTTGGCCAAGGAGCTACGAGTTCTCCTCGGTCGTGTTTCTGAGCCTCCTGTGGACGAAGTCATACGGACGGCCACCGACGTATCGTGCGAACTGGTTCCGCATTGGCAGGCCGCTGCCTGGTACGAGACGAGAAAGGACGTGCTAGACGTCAGCGACTATCAGTTAATAGACGCGCTGGGGCAACAATTGATAGGGGAGTAGACTATGTCCTGGGATAGCATAGATGCAGACAGCACGAACTTCCCAGTGTGTAGACTCGGGCGGATGATGTGAAGGTCTTGAGTGGTCATCCCCGCCATTCTGGTCCAGTAGTCGCGATGACCTCGTTTCTTGCACTCCATCGATACGCCCGCAAGTCGTGTTTTGAGTCACCGTGTGGATTGACTCTGCCACTTCGGAACATCAATACCTAATCTCATGACCATGACCGCACCTGGAACCACCCGGCTACCGATAGATACCACCCAGCATCGTAGACTCAATCCTCGTTTACAAGATAATCCATTGCAAGTACTCCACTCTGAGCATAAACCCCGTAGGGCCCTTCATCGTTATGGTCATTACACCCGAAGGGGGTGCGGACACGCCGAAGGTGTGGACGTGAGGAGCCGCACTGACGAATCCTCAATCGAGTCGCGACGTTCACAAGGGAGTAGTACCAAGTGAAGAGGAGCAATTGTCCCCTTGGGGGCAAGCGACGGACACACGATACACGCACACAGCAACAGACACCAGTCACTCGCACACAGACGGAAGGTACACTCCACCACACAAACAGACCGAGCAGCTACATCCAACACTCTCCGTTGGGCCCGCGACTGGAAGGAGCCCTTCGACCGGAGGGAGGTTTTGAACGACTGGAGGGAGTCAAAGGTACCGCAGCTGGAGGCGGAGGGACGGTAGAGTGAGGGAGTCACTCGGACACCCAGGCCCCCTATTACTTAAGTTTGGTTTATAGGGGGCCATGGCACAACGGCCCAGCACATAGGAACGGAAGATCCCGACAGGGGACGCAGTGATGTACATAGCAGTATTGAACAGGCGGGGAAATACTTGGTCATAAGAACCAATCAACGGGACGGAAGATGGTACGTCTTGTGCAGGTTACATAGTTTCACTGCACATCCACACTTGACTGGGTGGTGCACCAGGGTTCAAGCATTGCGTCATCCATTGCCACAGTTGACCGGGCAGGAGACCCGGACATATTTCATAGGCGGAGCATAAGGAGAGCGGGGCGATCATGGTCGTGGATGCAGCTCGTCTGCATCGTGCAAATGCCTTGTTGATGGTAAAGTGGTTGTTGAGCAACACGTCGGAGACATGTACTTAAGGGTTTTGATGCCCGCCTCAGTTTGTGTCTGAACCACGGTAGGTTCGCCTTTCATTACATTTTATTACTGCACCGCGTGCGTCTTGTTCATCTGTTAGCTGGAGCTGGGCTTCTTTTCGTCACCACTCGTGAGAGTTCTTGTCTCTTCTCGGCGCACGGAGTGGCCCTCTTACCATTCTCGGGGCGTCGCCGGACGAGAGTCTCTTCTTGTGTCCCAGAGACACTATCTACGGGGTTCACAATGACGACCCATGGCAACATGGCTGCACATCAGCAGGAGCGGGTGCAAGGAGCCAAGGGCCACAACTTCTTCTGGGGCAAGGAGTTTGTACCCGAGAGTGGCGGAGCCGGCTCTCTCTTTCAGAGTCTTTTCTGGCTTGCTAAGGAGCTATACGAGGGTCAGATGTTGGATCTCGCTAAGTTGACGAAGAGGCTTTCGCCTTCTCGCGACCCCTGTGTGGGCGCAGGGAACATTGTTGTTGTTGCCGTCTACTTTCTTTTCAACCATCGCGACGACATGGATATCTGTTGGAAAGAGCTGCGGCAGAACTTGGCGGTGGCCGCTGACGTGTGGCAAAAGTGGCCCGATACTTCGGCGACCGGAGAGCAGGATTGTACTATGGTCTTGCTCTTTGATACATCCTCACCCTTGGAAGGGCCGTTGGAGATGGAGGGAGTGGTGCGAGCCGTTCAGCATTTCTTGGGTTATTGTTCCACAAGGGGAGAGAAGGGTCCCTCTTGGCAGCGCGCACGCTCTGCTCTCATCGAGCTTGTTCCGGAGAAGAAGAAGGAACAGTGGTTTGCATCGCGCCATTTTTTACTCTCGTCTTCTGGGCAGCACAGTCTTTGCCCCGGTCGGCCGTCTTCTTGTGAGACGGGGTAGCCGACCCTCTCTGGAAAACCCCCACTTACCGCTTTTGGTGGTGACGATGACTTCATCCCCACTCAGTTTGGTCTGCATCGCTACAGAACACAGAATACAGGATACTTATTAGAGTGATATATGGTAAACTTGCATTGTTTTGACCCAGGATGTATTCAGCCGCACTCATAGGGCTACGGATAGTAATCAACAAGGAGCATAGGCTGAATCCTTTACCTAAGCCGATACTGCAAGGGTTCTACTCTGTGTGATCACCCCCGGAGGGCCATTCCATCACTACGGAATTTACTCCGAAGGAGTGCAGACAGGCCGTAGGACTGGCTGTGGAGAGCAGCGAAGCGTCACACTGACAGTCTTCGACCGAGTAAATACGTTTACAAGGGAATCCACACAAGTGAAGAGGAGCGAATGTCCGCAGGGCATGCGACGGACACACAACAGTACACACCGCAAAGCAAACGCAAGTCACTTCACCACCCACTAACACGGAACATCTACAACCCCAGCACACTCTCACCGTTGGGCCACGAGCGGAGCGAGTTCTGTCTGAGCCGGAGGCGAGAATGACGACTGGAGGGAGTCACCAGTACCGAGCCGGAGGTGAGGGACACAAAGGGACGGGAAGTCACTTTGACCCATGCGCCCCCTATTACTTAAGTTTGGTTTATAGGGGGCCTCTGCTCCATGGCCCAGTCACTAGAGAATGGATGACCGCACGGGCAGGAATGAAGTACTAGAGGTCCTTGACAGGCGGGAAAGTGACCTAGTCCTAACGACCAATCAGACCGGCGGGAGGAGGTCGGCCACAGAGTGTGGGTTGCATCGCTTCCACACACCCACCCAACTGCCTTGGCTGGTGGGGAAAAGTGGGAGGGGGGGGTCCCCGGACAGAGGTGGAGAGCACCGGTCGGGAAGACGGCAGACGGAGTATATAGAGGAGGCTGTCCCCTCCCCCTCGAAACAGATCTCAGAGATCGTCTCTCTCTTCTTTCTACTTCTTCTGGAGGAGACACCAGCAGCGCTTCTCTTCATTTGAATCTGCTTGGATGCAAGCGGGCAGCCCTAGTCTGCCTGTCCTACGCAGCAAGGAGTAGCCATTCTGGAAAAGCTAGACAGCGGCCCTTTCACTCTCACAACCCGGCGGGTTCCGCTCAGATCTCCGGGAGTATCGCCTCGAGTACGACTTGCGGAGTGGGTAAGATTCCATCCCCTGTTACACCAGGGACAGTACCTCCGTGTCGAGAGACACAACTATATACGCTGGTCATGGCGACATACCAGCAGGAGCGCCCATCCAAGTCTGAGGAACAGAAGCGGGACGATTTGCTTTGGGGCAATCGCTTCGTGCCCAAGAGTCACGGAGCAGGTCGTTTGGTCGAACATCTCGTCTGGCTTGCTAACAAGCTGCCGGGGAGCCAGACACTTCACCTTGAGCAGTCGGAAAGGACGCTTTGGAAACCGCTCCCCCCCCTCTTAGCCGCAGGCAATGTCGTTGCCGTGGCTGTTTACTTTACATTCCGAGACCTCGTGGCGATGGATTTGTGCCGGAAGGAGTTGCAGGACTCTCTGGCGGTGACGGCGGACGTCTGGATCAAGTTGTCTGATGACTCCTCTGGGGAAGGAGCCCGGGACTGCTCCATGGTTCTACTCTTTGATCCCGCCTCGCCTCTCGTCGGCCCCATGCAGACGCGAGAAGTCATTTATGCGGTGCAGCATTATTTAGGTTACTGTCAGGCAGCGACCGACGAACAGGAGAGATGCTCCAGAGCCCGAGGATCGAAAGGCAAGGGGTACTATTGTCCATGTTGGAACAGCGCGTACGTCGCTGTGATTGAGCTCGTCTCGGAAGGAGAAAGGGACACGTGGTTGGCGTCAAGACAGTCCCTGATCTCGACCCCGGAAACGGTGGATCGTTGGCGTGGGGAAGGGTTTTGCGGACGAGCATTTTGCAGGTAAGGGGTACCAATTAGTAAATATGAACTTTCTCGTACACATTGTTTTCGTGGAGGTCGCAGTCTGAACGTACTTTGGCCCACTCGGCTATCGAAAAGCATGAGAGCATGATATAGACGCGACCCTTCACCGAGGACTGCACACTCCTTTAGTCGCTTTCAATCATCTTCGAGACCCAAACAGATCGTAGACTTCATTCGAGAACCCTGAACCGTTTACAAGAAAGCTTCATTGCCCCGGCTACCACCCACATCTACAATCCACTCATGACTATGGAGGCAACCCCCCGCAGGGGGTGCACACAGGCCGCAGGACTGGGTGTGAAGAGCCACGCTCACGAGACTTCGATTGTGTAACACATTTACAAGAACACATGCACAGTCACGGGACGGAGGACCGCGACCGAAGGGGAGCAAGGGACGAGACCCAACACACAAAAGGACACGGAAGTTACTCTTGCGCGTAGACAGACGGGACAGCTACATCCAAACACAACCCGTTGGGCCACGACCGGAGGGAGTTTTGTCTGAGCGGAGCGAGTTGGATGACCGGAGGGAGCCCTTTGACGGAGTCAATGGTACGAGCCTGGAGGGCGAAGTCAGTGAGAGGGACGGAGTCACTCGGACACCCAGGCCCCCTATTACTTAAGTTTGGTTTATAGGGGGCCATGGCACAACGGCCCAGCCCATAGACAGGTTGCTTCAGCTTCCATGTAGTTATTAGCAGTCTCGGAAAGGATAGACGGGACGAGGTGTTAAGAAGGTACGGGACGGAGGGACTGTACCACGTCAACAAGTCAGCTTGCACGTAGTGGTTGCATGACTCCACAACTGGACGGGCGAGAGACCCGGACAGATACTACACAAAGGGCTTGGGAACAAGCCATATAAAGGGGAGGACACCCCCCCGAGCAGAGCGTTCCGTCGGGAAGACTTGAATCTCTTTTCCTTTCAATTCCGTGAGGACTTTGCAAGTGCACTGCCTTTTCTCAGGTGAAAAGAAGACGCAAGGTAGGTGGATACCTTATATAAGGATTGGGATCAACAATAAGTTAAGTTAGTCCGGCAGACTTCGCTTTGGTAAGCAATGGAGCAGGTCAGCTGATCACGCGCACCTCTGGTGTTGTTGGGTCAACACGTACACGTCAAGGGACAGACGTCACCTCGGCAAAGTGGGGTTTGCTTTTTCCCCTGGGGACATACCGAGTGATTGATACTCTTTTGCGGCGCTACATATCCCTCGACAGCCATGGAAGAGGCCCTGAATCAGCCCGACTTCTCTGAGGCGGCAGGCGGCTTGAGGACGGCTGCGGACCATCTCGATCGGTGTCGGAATCTCCCCGCCGTCGATGGCGGTGCTCGCCTGGCAGAGACCCTCCAAACGGTACTGGAGCGCATCGGAGCGCTGGAAAGAACGATGCAGCGTCGCTTCGATCAGGTAGACCGTCGAATGGATGGCTTGGATCGCAAGGTCACCGTCTCGTGAGTAGACTGTCCACCTTTCGGCCCTCCATCAGCAGGGGATTGCTGACCTTCATTCACCCTTTCCGCAGCAACCGAAACGCAGTGATTCGGGCGCAGAACAGCACTGTCGTCCGCGCGGACATGGAGTTGGAACCCCTCTACAGCGTCCTCACCGGTGAGCCGTTGGATCAATTCCCAGAGACCTTGGATCGCCTTGAGCGACTGCAGTGTAAGTATCGACTACCGAGTGCGAGGGATGCTGTGCTGACTAGGGATACGCACCGTAGTGGCAGCCGTCAATGACCTGTTGACCCATCTCGGCGAGGTCCCGAGGGGTCGTGTCGAAGAGAGACGGAGACAGTTGAAGCTCGCTTCAGGCGTGGTGACAAGGGCTGTGTAATGGATTGACTACTTTTTTTTTAATTTCTTCCTTTTTTCTGTCCTGGTCCTGGACATTTGAAAGCGTCAGTGTTCAGGAGGAATAACTGGATGGGGACTTCACGATACCTTCACTCAAGGCCAGGCTACATTGATGTGCATGAAGAGTTATGATTAAATTCACTTCCATACTGGCTACCACTCAATGCCGAGGGTCGTGACACGGTGACACGGTGACACCGGGTATACACCTCCACGTAGACTATTCTTTCATCCCCTGTTTACAAGTAGACCTATACGTTTACAAGATAACACATTGCAAGGGACACGACCCTGAGCATAAGCCCCGCAGGGCATTTCAGAGCTACGGAATCAACCCCCCGAAGGGGGTGCGACCAAGCCGAAGGTTTGGGCGTGATGAGCCACACTGACCTATCTTCGATTGAGTCAATCCGTTTACAAGATTACCTTGCAAGATGAGAGGAGCAGTTGTCCCTCTCTCGGAGGGGCAAGCGACGGATACAACACAACACACTACACCCGCTCAATCCCCAAACCAAAGTCACTCCACCATACACGCCACACCCAGCAAATACCCGTTGGGCCCGCGACTGGAAGGAGCATTGTCTGAGCGGAGCGAGTTTGGGACGACCGGAGGGAAGTCACCAGTACGCGACAGGCGGGAGTGGACTGTATGGGGGACGGAGTCACTCATACCCATAGGCCCCCTATTACTTAAGTTTGGTTTATAGGGGGCCATGGCACAACGGCCCAGCCCATAGGAACGGAAAGTCCCGCAAGGGGCAGAAGTGATGTACATAGCAGTATTGAACAGGCGGGGAAATACTTGGTCATAAGAACCAATCAGAGGGACGAAGGATGGTACGTCACAGAGTGTAGCTTGCCTTGGCTTGCATACACATCACATGCTGTGCGGGTCGGAACCCGGACACGAGTGGGGAACACACTTCCGCAGAAGTACATAAAGAGGGCGTGCCGCCCACTTCCTTCCGACCTCAGACGGTCCGTTCTCTCCCATCTCGAGCAGGCTGCTCTTTGGCTTGATGCCCATACTGCCTTTTCCGTCAAGGAGCACGAAGACTCTTCTCTACGTTGCCCATCGTTTGGTTCGTGGGCAGCCAACCTCCCACCCGGAGGACGGGACTATGCTAAAAGGGAGTCGAGTAGACCTCCGAGGTTCGCTTGTGCGTCACGGCAAATACCGCTGCTGGGACAGTTGTCTTCCCGGTCAAGGAACGCACTGTGTCGGACACTTCTTCCTCGTCAGATCACGATGCTGGGCACGGAGGCCCTGTGGGGGGTTTTGTACCCTGATTCTCTGTGGACCGAGTCAACGTTGCCGGTGAAGGAGGGGTTTGGCTTTGACTGTTGGTTCTTGGGCAGCATTGCCCGAGAACGTCCGAAGGTGAAGCGAGAGCTTGACCGGGCGCACGACGTCCTTGAGGTCAAGGATGACGACATGACTCGTTCGTTTACCGTCCTGCAGACGGAAGCTTGCGATTGCGCGCTTCGCGACCCGACACGTCCTGCCGACGTCTAAGTACGACACTCAGCCCCAGGTGCAAGCTAGCGGCTTGTGGGTGGCTAGCGACCGTGACGACCCCTATGATTGCTGTGAGCGCGTGTGCTTGGAACACGGCGTGGACTCGTTTGTCCATCTCTTCTTGCAGAACGCCACGAACTCGCGCATGCCGGCGAATCCAATCCCGGACGATCGGGTTTCGGTTCTCCGCGGACTCGTCTACGGGGTTTTCCGGACCTCGCACACTGCTCTCTGCAGGACAGACCTTGTTGCAATCTGCTCCTTCGCCGGGAGAATCCTCAAGAACAAATCGCGATGAATGACGAGCAGGTGGACGCGCTATGGTGCGCTCACAGCTACTTTACCTTGGCTATTCTAGCGAGACATGTGCACAGCGTCAGCATGTACAAACTGTTTGTGGATCAGTTTCGGCGTTTGTGGGCTCGCGTGCTGCACGCCTTGGAGACGGGAGAAGATGCGCCCGGCCTTGCGAAGAAGTAACCACCCTGCTTGATCGTGGTGTTATAGATCACTCAATGGAACAAGAAGCGTGTATTTATACTGAATGGTTATGACAATACCAGGACATTCAATGTCCTCCTAAAGCGGCCTCAGACCGTTTACAAGTGCATGACACGCGTTTACAAGTGAATTGACTCCGAGAATTCCACTCTGAGGATAAACCCCGTAGGGCACATCACGACTATGGAATCAACCCCCCCGAAGGGGGGTGCAGTGAGGCCGAAGGTCGAACTGTGGAGAGCCACGCTCAAGAGACTTCAATCGAGTAAACACGTTTACAAGGGAATCTACACAGAGAAGAGGAGCGAGCATCCGTCAGGGTGCGCGACGGACTCCCAACAACACAGTCACACCAAAGAACAATCGTGAATACGGACCGAGTGACGAATACCAACACGAACACACCACCCCAAGTCACTCGGTCATACACTCCACACCCAAACAGTACCCGTTGGGCCACGACCGGAGGGAGTTTTGTATGAGCGGAGCGAGTTGGACGACTGGAGGGAGCCCTTTGACGGAGTCAACAGTACCGAGCCGGAGGTGAGGGACACAAAGGGACGGGAAGTCACTGTCACCCCCGGGCCCCCTATTACTTAAGTTTGGTTTATAGGGGGCCATGGCACAACGGCCCAGCCCATAGAGCAGCTTGAACGCACGTGATTGCATGCAGTCATAGGCGGAAGCGACGGGGGGAGCGACGCAGTGCTAAGAGCGAATGAGCCTAGAGGGATCACGCCGTCCATGGAAAGACAGCTTGTGTAGCTTGCGTAACTTGCATGTATCCACTACTGGCCGGGGCAGACGCCCGGACAGAATGACACCGGAGGGTATAAAGCGGGCAAGGTGCCCCAATGTTGAACTCGGATGAGTTGTCTCCCTTGAGTCTCGTTTCCTGCGTGGCAAAAGAGAGCGAGAGAGATAGAGAGAGGGAACGATGTCTTCCACCATGGAGGTTGATCCTCCTGCTAGTGATAGCGGTTATGAGTCTGTCGAGAGGGATGCTCGCGAGATCCCCGGAGTGACCGAGAAGCATCAAGACTTTGTGTTCCATGCAAACATGGCGTTTGTCACCTACACCCGCAGCCGGGTCGAAGACCCAGAGGAGTTCCACAGGTATCTACGAGAGTCGCTGGCGCCGAGCCTGCCACGGGTTAACCGCAGGACTGGACAGGCAGGAACAGTACAGGTCTACGGCTGCAAGGAACTGCATGAGGATGGCACTCCCCACTATCATGTGATGCTCAAGTTCGAGCCCCGCGTGCACTGGAGGAACGCCCGTGAAAAGTTCAGGGTCTGGATTGATGTAAAGGATGGTCGTGAGGTGGACACGACGTCGATCAACATTCACAAGAAGCCGGAGAACGAGACGCCTGCGTACTTCCTGCAGTGCGTGCAGGCTTATATCGCCAAGGGTGGCGACGTCTTTGGCGAGTGGATCGGTCCCAAGACGACGACGGCGTCGGAAAAAGACAAGTACTTGGAGCAGACGGTTGAGACGGAGTCCCGCGAGGAGGCGGAGACGCTGCTCAAGACGCATTTCAAGTCCTGGTGGGTACGTAACCATGCGAATTGCCAGGCTTTCTTGAGGACCAAGAAGGGTCCTTCTGCCAAACCCCATGCGCCTTCCTTTCCTCCCTTACCTGGAAGGTGCCGAGAAGGTTGCTTCAGTGGCGGCAAAAGAACTTTGACGTGGCCCGGCTTGGTCGTCCGACATGTCTCGTCATCGTCGGTCGGCCCCGCTCTGGCAAGACCGAGTGGGCTCTTTCCTTTGGTCGTCCAGCTCACATGACGGGTGAGTGGAATATGGATGAACTCATGAAGCCGGACATTACACATGTTGTCCTCAACGATATCAAGTTGAGGGCTTTTCCCTACAAGCGTGACCTTGCTGGCTGTCAGGAGTACATCACCGCCACAGGCAAGTACCGCGAGCAGCGGACCATTCGCATGGGTATACCAGTCATCTGGACTTGTAATGAGGACAATGATGTTACCAAGGACAAGGATATTGGTCAGTATTTGCTTGAGACAGCCGTGATTTATCGTGTGCCAAAGGGGAAGATGTTGTATGGGAAGTAGATACAAATCGAGAAGATGCATTGTTGTGACACCGCCAGCATCGTAGATCAAAATCGTTTACAAGCTCACCACATTGCCCCGGCTACCACCCTTCATCTCTAACCCACTCATGACTATGGAATCAATCCCCGCAGGTGCGACCGAGCCGAAGGTTCGGGCGTGGAGACCACGCTCAACCATCTTCAATTGAGTAGACCCGTTCACAAGCCAGTAGATACACCACAGGAGGAGCAACCGAAGGGCGACGGACCATACACAACAACTTGCACACACACAAACCCCAGTTCAAGTCACTCCGCCATACAAGCACACTGCAAACAATACCGTTGGGCCACCCCGACCGGAGGGAGGTGCTTGAGCGGAGCGAGAACGGACGACTGGATGGAGGACACTGGTACGAGCAGGCAGCGAGGACCTTGTAGGAGTGAGGGAGTCACTGCTACTCTTGGGCCCCCTATTACTTAAGTTTGGTTTATAGGGGGCCATGGCACAACGGCCCAGCCCATAGAGAATGGATGTCCTGCAAAGGGCAGAAATGGAGGTGCTAGACCGAAAGGAGCGGAGCGGATGAAGGTGGTCCTAACCGCTGATTGGAGAAGAGCGACAACGCGGGTCTACCCGTCCAGCTTCCCAAAGGGTTGCATGACGGATCCATACACGTCCGGGGCAGCACCCGGACACATGAGATACGGGAGTATATAAAGACCTGGGGGTGCCCCCCTCGACGGCGACCTGGGATGGTCTTCCATTTATCCTTCACTCTTCACGCACGGGGTGCATGTGCTGAGCTTGGGCGAAAAGCTACGTCTTCTTACAGGTAAAACATCTCCTTTTCTGTGTGGGAAAAGCACCGCTTCGATTTCGGGAGGAAAACATGTTATCAGAATACTGTTCGCTGACGAACACGGACGGCTGCACAGACCACGTGCCACCTCCTGCTAGGAGATAAACTCGTCGTGAGACATTCTGCTACACGCTCGTTGAGAATGCCGTGTACAAGTCTTTCCTTTCCGGTTGTAGAACCGGAACGTCTACTGCATGACGCCGAAGACTACGAGGCCGACGGTGGTGACAAGTGGTCAGCCTGTGAGAGCAGCAGCGATACGCCCTCCTCTTTCGCCTTGGAACTTGGGGAAGGGCCGGCGCTTCCTTCGTTGACGGAGGTGTTCCACTCCGGAGTGGACGCGGCGAGGCTTTTCCGCCCCGGCGACATCCTGCAGGCTTCTTTGCAAGGAGCAGGTGCATTTTGGACGGTATCCATGGTCCATTTTGACTCTCTTCAGGCCTTGAAGGACGTGGCCTTCTGCCTTGCTCCCCCTGCCGGTTTCGGCTGTAGAATATGGTCTCTCGCAGATGACCAGGCGGGGTGTTGGATCGCCGTCGTTCTTGTAGGTGCCATTGACGGTTCGCATTTAGATGCGGCCAGGGTAAAGACGGAGGATTTCCTCTCATGCTGCGCCGGCGTCGATGCCTCTCTGGAATTGGCCGTAGAATGGCTGGAGATGATCCCTTGGTGGAGTTATCGTCACTGGCGCAAGCAGTACGATCTCCTTCTCGACTCCTCGCTCTGGGTTTGGTCCGCTGGCGAGGACATTGACACGGTCGAGTTCCGCGTCCATCAGCACTTGGATACGCTGGTCCGCTGAGGGGTTTCGGGCTTTTGGACTCCCTGGCGGTAGATTCTTAGGCTGTTTTTCCATAGCTGTTACGGGGCTTTTTGTACGGGACCTTTCCTGCCACGCTTTGAAACCAATCGTATGAATGCGTCGCCATTTGACTTGCTTCGGGATTGCGGCCGAACAGAACACGGGTGACCGATGCCGTAGTCGAATTGCCTCTCTCGGTGCCTGTACTGGCTGCACACCTTCATTACTTACCCTCTTCCCGGCCATCACCGAGATAACAAGCAGCGTAGCCCTGATTTTTCCACGTACACTTTGAAAGCGTTTACAAGAAAGCGGCACAAGCTAGTGATCAAAACCCCTTTAAGGACTCTACACTGAGGATAAGCCCCGCAGGGCATTCCATGACTATGAACATTACCCCGAAGGGGGTGCGGACACGCCGAAGGTGTGGACGTGAAGAGTGGCGCTCACCATCTTCAATTGAGTAACGCGTTCACAAGAGCACTCGACAAAGTGAAGAGGAGTAGGTGTCCCGCAAGGGGCACACGACGGACCGTAATCAATACACCAAACAGAAACGGAAGTCACTCCGCCATACACTCCACATACAAACGCTACACCGTTGGGCCGCGACTGGAAGGAGCCCTTCGACCGGAGGGAGTTTTGAACGAGTGGAACGAGGACACTGTGACCGACCGGCGGGAGGGCAACTGTATGGGGGACGGAGTCACTCATACCCATAGGCCCCCTATTACTTAAGTTTGGTTTATAGGGGGCCATGGCACAACGGCCCAGCCCATAGGAACGGAATGTCGGACACGGCAGGAGAGAAGTACTAGGCCGAAAGGAGCGGAGCGGATGCAGGCAGTCCTAACGACCAATGGGACTGGAGAGACCAGGTCGGTTCTGCGGTGTAGGTTGCGTCAGCTTCCATGCACGTCCAGGTCATATGACGGGGTGGGAGCCCCGGACACATGTGGAGAACACACACACACCGGAGGGTATAAGAACCCAGGGTTCGCCCACTCTTACAGAACATGGACGGTTCTCTTTTTCTTTCTCTTCATTTTCCGGAGGAGAGGGCGTTGTTACGCCTCGAAAAGAAAGGTAAGCCGTGAGGCTTTTACGACGAGAGGACACGGTGCCTGCGGCTACGAGACCCCATGAAAACATACCGAGAGTATGGGAACCCAGAGGAAACAATAGCACTTGGCGGTGCGACGAGTCGAAAGACGTAAGCAAGTGAGGGCGGGAGACGAACACTGGCAAAAAGGTGGGACACCTGGACAGACTTGTTTTGTCCTTCTTCCTTCATTTCTTCTAGTAGGAAGCATCCGGTGTGGACGGACAGGTCCACGGCACTCCGGGACGCAAGGTTGCCGTTCTGTTCCCGCGGAGAGGAACTCGATTGGTGTCCTGTGCACGCGCTTCCACTGCGCCCCTTTGGGGCTTCGCTCCCGCTTGTTTCCCTTCTTGAGGACTGGGGAATGCACTCCGCGCTCCGGGCGCTCCGTCGACAACCGCACCCCGGCCAGGAGGCTAATCCTTGGATGCAGTAGAGGAGATTCTCTCCTCCGTCTTACCTGGTTGCTTTAACCCGTGAGGGCCTCTCGGTAACACCTTCCTTTGTCTTTTCTTTTACGATGTGGTAAAAGATTCTGTTTCCTCGTCTCCTGACAGAGCGAACTCATGTTCTTCCTTTTTACGTGCAGTGGAGGGGGCTGCATCTTGACTACTTCCTTGCGGCCTCGCACAGCAACCGCTTGGAGGAGACGTGGCCTTGTTCATTCTCCCAGAGATGGATTTGCCCTGAGGAATCATCGAGCAGCAGGCTTGAATCGTTTATCGACTGTAGCCCACTCGCCGACAGAGACACGGGAGACCACTGGGCCAACTTTTGGTAACGATGCACGTAGCAGCGCCGGGGCCTGTAGACTGTTCGCGGGGGGCCTTCAAGTGTTGTAGAATGGCCGGTTTCCACATCGCCAGGATGACCCCCTCTGCTTGCCCAAACGGGACTTGGGAATGGCTTCATGCCCTTATCGGCACTCGACGCGACAGACAGAGGTGCACGACTGAATAGACGTAACTGGTTTCATGATTGGCTGCCAGCAGAAACACGCTGCATGACCGTAATCTGCTTCACGTTCACTGACAATTGCCCAAGTCCTTGCAACACGCCTTTGACATGATACACCTATCCCCGGCTACAGCTCAACACCACCCATATCGTAGCCTTCACATCACACGTAGACAGCCCAAGCGTTTACAAGTGAATTGACTCTGAGAATTCCACACTGAGCTTAAGCCCCGCAGGGCATTTCATCGTTATGGAATCAACCCCCCGAAGGGGGTGCGGACGAGCCGTAGGTTCGGACGTGGAGAGCCACGTTGACGAGACTTCAATTGAGTAACGCGTTTACACGAGAGCAGTACACAGTGAGGAGGAGCAAACGAAGTGCGACGGACCACACAATACACTACACGCGCCCACAAACCCTGAACAAGGTACCACTCCCATACAACCCACACACAAACAATACCCGTTGGGCCACCCCGACCGGAGGGAGGTGCTTGAGCGGAGCGAGAAAAACCGACAGGAGGGAGGTTTTGGACGAGAGGAACGAGGACACTGGGACTTCGACTGGAGGGAGAAGACAGTAGAGGGGCGGAGTCCCTTCTACCCCCAGGCCCCCTATTACTTAAGTTTGGTTTATAGGGGGCCATGGCACAACGGCCCAACGTACTAGGCAGGTTACGTAAGTATCCATGCAGTCATAGACCGAAAGGGAGTGGAACGAGAGAAGGTTGTCATAAGAGCTGGGGGAGGGGACCGACAACGCGCGTTCATTGGGTAGCTTCCAACGCAGTGGTTGCGTACACATCCACTCTTGGACGGGGTAGACACCCGGACAACTTTACCACACCGGAGGGTATAAAGGCACGGGCTGCCGCCCACCCACTACAGAACCCAGACGGTTCTCTCTTTTTTTCCCTTCGTCAGACCTAGGAAAGGTTTGATGCTTTACGCGTATGTCGACGCAGGACGCAACACGTTAGACGCTGGACGATACGCACTCAGTCGGAGACATTTGTGCAAGGGAGCACCGTATTTTCTGGACCGGCATTCATTGCGATGATGCGGGACGCTCGCGTTGTTCGAAAGGAGGACGCGGGGACCGGCGGAGAGGGCTGGGACAAGCTTCTGCGGCGAGAGGACGCACTAGTCCGTGAGGTCGTGGGAACGGGGTACGAACCCAAGGTGGTGGTGTACTGTTGCGCGAAGCAGGAAGGATGTTGCATCCATGGAAGCATGTGCCGGCCACTGCGAGACCAGCGCTGGTGTCAGCGTTGGGTCTTCTTGTTCTTGGACCTAGGCGAGGTCGAGCGACGTTCACCGGCGACGATACGGGAGCATTTGTCCGACCGTCTGGGCAATTTCTCTTTTTCCCTCTGGGGATCCGAGCAGTGGAACCGGCATGGATGGTCGCAGTACGCGATGTTCTTGGAAGCGGGAGCTGGAAACGGCTTGAGTGAGGCACACTTAGACTCTCTCCGTAGCTACGTGAGGGAGCACGTCCCGCATGACCCTGAGCCTTGGCATGGCGGGGCAGCCCGCCTCTCTTGCTGTGCTGGTGTGCATCTACAGCGGCTCACTAAGGATGTGAAGCGAGTTCTCTTGGGGAAGCTACAGGACGGAGGGACGCTACAGGAGTTTGGAGACGAGAGTGTCCGGTCTTGCCTCGTGCAGCATCTGGTAACAGTTCTATAGGATTTGATTTGGAGCAGGATAGACAAGGTGACGGGAGGAATGCCCACTAGAAGGTGTAATGGAATACTCCGGGTCACTACACGACCTTCCCGAATGGGTAATCACGGTGGCTTCATCTCGAGGATGGAGGAGTGCGTGCAGGCCGACCACGTAGCTGACTCGGTCGTCTCTTTGCTTGTTCACAAGTAACTATGTTTATGCCCGTACATGTTCTCCGCGGAGCCTAGGCAAGGGACTGGTAGAGCGAGTGCGATTCTCGGCCTGTCAAGTTAGGTCGCAGACTCCCAATCGTCGGCGAGGAAGCGATGCGACGGAGACTCTTTTCCTTCAATCGTGAGCGTTTACAAGTACTCCAAACACGTTTACAAGTTCACCTACACCCGTTTCCCAGTAGAACAACCGAAATACTGTACCTGAAACCGTTTACAAGATCATTCACTGCCTCGGCTACAGACTAATATCTACAATCCCTTCCGAGATACGAACAGAACCCCCGAAGGGGGTGCGGCGAGGCCGTAGGTCGAGACGTGGAAGCAGCGAAGCGTCACCCTGCAAGAATCTTCAACCGGGTCACACGTTCACAAGAAAGTCTTCCGGCGACGGGAGGAGCAAGTGTCCAACGGGCACGGGACGCACCAAACACAATACACTGTAAAGAGTCCACGCACGAAGAAAACACACACCGGCAAGGTCACTCCACCACCCACTCACACGGAACATCTACAACTCAGCAATACACCGTTGGGCCACGACCAGAGGGAGTTTTGTCTGAGCGGAGCGAGAAAAACCGACAGGAGGGAGGTTTTGGACGAGAGGAACGAGGACACTGGGACTTCGACTGGAGGGAGAAGACAGTAGAGGGGCGGAGTCCCTTCTACCCCCAGGCCCCCTATTACTTAAGTTTGGTTTATAGGGGGCCATGGCACAACGGCCCAGTCACTAGGCAGATTGAACGCACGTGATTTACTGCAGTCATAGGCGGAAGCGACGGGGGGAGCGACGCAGTGCTAAGAGCGAATGAGCCTAGAGGGATCACGCCGTCCATGGAAAGACAGCTTGTGTAGCTTGCGTAACTTGCATGTATCCACTACTGGCCGGGGCAGACGCCCGGACAGAATGACACCGGAGGGTATAAAGCGGGCAAGGTGCCCCAATGTTGAACTCGGATGAGTTGTCTCCTTGAGTCTCGTTTCCTGCGTGGCAAAGAGAGCGAGAGAGATAGAGAGAGGAACGATGTCTTCCACCATGGAGGTTGATCCTCCTGCTAGTGATAGCGGTTATGAGTCTGTCGAGAGGGATGCTCGCGAGATCCCCGGAGTGACCGAGAAGCATCAAGACTTTGTGTTCCATGCAAACATGGCGTTTGTCACCTACACCCGCAGCCGGGTCGAAGACCCAGAGGAGTTCCACAGGTATCTACGAGAGTCGCTGGCGCCGAGCCTGCCACGGGTTAACCGCAGGACTGGACAGGCAGGAACAGTACAGGTCTACGGCTGCAAGGAACTGCATGAGGATGGCACTCCCCACTATCATGTGATGCTCAAGTTCGAGCCCCGCGTGCACTGGAGGAACGCCCGTGAAAAGTTCAGGGTCTGGATTGATGTAAAGGATGGTCGTGAGGTGGACACGACGTCGATCAACATTCACAAGAAGCCGGAGAACGAGACGCCTGCGTACTTCCTGCAGTGCGTGCAGGCTTATATCGCCAAGGGTGGCGACGTCTTTGGCGAGTGGATCGGTCCCAAGACGACGACGGCGTCGGAAAAAGACAAGTACTTGGAGCAGGCGGTTGAGACGGAGTCCCGCGAGGAGGCGGAGACGCTGCTCAAGACGCATTTCAAGTCCTGGTGGGTACGTAACCATGCGAATTGCCAGGCTTTCTTGAGGACCAAGAAGGGTCCTTCTGCCAAACCCCATGCGCCTTCCTTTCCTCCCTTACCCTGGAAGGTGCCGAGAAGGTTGCTTCAGTGGCGGCAAAGAACTTTGACGTGGCCCGGCTTGGTCGTCCGACATGTCTCGTCATCGTCGGTCGGCCCCGCTCTGGCAAGACCGAGTGGGCTCTTTCCTTTGGTCGTCCAGCTCACATGACGGGTGAGTGGAATATGGATGAACTCATGAAGCCGGACATTACACATGTTGTCCTCAACGATATCAAGTTGAGGGCTTTTCCCTACAAGCGTGACCTTGCTGGCTGTCAGGAGTACATCACCGCCACAGGCAAGTACCGCGAGCAGCGGACCATTCGCATGGGTATACCAGTCATCTGGACTTGTAATGAGGACAATGATGTTACCAAGGACAAGGATATTGGTCAGTATTTGCTTGAGACAGCCGTGATTTATCGTGTGCCAAAGGGGAAGATGTTGTATGGGAAGTAGATACAAATCGAGAAGATGCATTGTTGTGACACCGCCAGCATCGTAGATCAAAATCGTTTACAAGCTCACCACATTGCCCCGGCTACCACCCTTCATCTCCAACCCACTCATGACTATGGAATCAATCCCCGCAGGTGCGACCGAGCCGAAGGTTCGGGCGTGGAGAGCCACGCTCAACCATCTTCGATTCAGTAGACACGTTTACAAGCCGGTCTTCACGCGACAGGAGGAGCAACCGAAGGGCGACGGACACAAACACGACAACTTGCACACACACAAACCCCAAACACATGCTGGGCCCACGAGCGGAGCGAGTTGAGACGACCGGAGGGAGGAACTGCCCTTGAGTGGAACGAAAGGGTACACGCCTGGAGGGCGGGTGGACTGTGTGACGGGAGGTCACTTGTCAGAAAGGCCCCCTATTACTTAAGTTTGGTTTATAGGGGGCCATGGCACAACGGCCCAGCCCATAGACACCTTTCACGCACGTGATTGAGTGTGGTACTAGCACGGATGGACGGGACGGGAAGAAGTGAGTCATAAGAGACAGCTCGACAGGGGGGAGAGGGTCACGTTTCGATTGGATAGCTTCCACGTAGTGGTTGCATAGCCAGTTGCAGAGATGGACGGGGTGGCAACCGGACATGGGTGGGGACCCACAGAGAACGGAGTGTTTAAAGGGCTTGATGCCCGCCCACTTTCTTTCGACAAAACCTGGCAAGGTTCTGATCTCTTCTTATACACCGGGCTGGTTGATATGGTTTGAGCATACGGAGACCTCTCACTTACCAGAGTAAGTTCACGTTTCCGTTCACAATCGATTGTGTGTGTTTCCCGGAGGGTTACTACCTGACGACGGGATGGTTGACTCTTTTCCTGAGCCGGGGAGGCTTTACTGATGCTGCCTGCGGCACGACTCGACGATAGGAGAGGGGATAAGAGGAGCCACCGCCCCTCTCGTACAGCAGACGATAAACTTTTTCATGTAGCCCGGGAGGGTTTGGTCGAGAAGACAGTAAGTTGGAACGAGGAAGGAATCTTTCTTTAGGATCCAAGCGGATCGGACAAGAGTCTTGTGGTGGCTTGGTTGGACGGGTGTCCACTCCACTTCCTCTACGCCCTTGACGGGCTCCGATTCGTTTGTTCCCGGGGACATATATTGAACATGTGTTCGACAACCCGGGAGGTGTCTCACCACAGGCTTTTGCATGGTCTAAGACCTTGGCGAGATTGTCGAATCATACGGCGTACATGCACAACCCGGTGACGAGAGGAGCCGACGGGAAATGCGACATGGGAGGAGCCTTCTGAACATCCACCTGGCACTTGGGGACACGGATGGAGAGTGGCCGCTCTGAGCAGTCATAGGGCAGCACACTTCTTGCCGTGTTTGTCGCGGGTCGAAGTCTTTCTTCCTTTTGACCGCTCGTCACGCTCGCGATCCCGCTCTTTTTCTCTCTTCCGCCTCTGCTCCTGTCTAGCCGCATCTTCCCCGCCGTGACTGGAGCCCGCTCCACGGCGATGTCTGCTACTACCGCTACCGCTACCGCTGGGTTGAGGATGAGAACGGCCCCGGTGTCTATCACTCTGCCGACTGGCCGGGAGCTCCACGTCTGCAGACCGGCTGGATTTCTCTCGCGTCACCTTCTTGAGCAACGAAGATGTCTCCGCATGATGGTTCTCCAAAGTACGCACCTTGGCAAGGATGCTGTGCAGATCCTCCTGCATTTTGACAACAGAGGGACCCACACTCTCTGTCTGCCGACTCAACGACTGAATGTCGCGGGACAGCTTCCGAGCCTCTCCGCCGCCCTCGTTGCTCCGAGTGGCCAATGAATTGACTCGATCTCCATATTCCTTCACAGCGACGTGAAGGTCCGAAAGCCTCTTCTGTAGTGGCTGCAAAGCACCTTCCACGATGGCCACGACTCGTTTGTCTACAACTTCTAAGACGGCTTCCCGCATGGACGCAGCCAACTCCTCAAGATCCAACCCGTCAGCCGAGACCTCGTGGTCGCTGTCCGAAGTGATACTGCCAGGGGACGCTGGCCGTACGGGTTCCACGGGAGATTCCGCCACCTGGCTCGAATGCCGCGATACGCCATCCTCTTCGCCCTGCTCCGATGCGTCTGATGCGTACGAGTCCACTATTGCTTCGGTGGTCTGACACTTGTCAGGCTCCTCTCGAGATTCGGTACGCGCAGCGGCCAGAGAAAATCCTTGCGCGGGAAACGGACCCGTTCCTCCACCTGTTCACACAGAGTTAGTCAGGACCATGCCTGAATAAGAGGCAGTTCTCACCACCAAAGACTCTCGGTGCGGGCTGACCGAAACCTCTCGGTCCCGGCTGGCCAAAGTCGCCAGGCTGCGTTCTCTGTCCCGGAAACGCCATGCTATCACTCATCATCCAACCTGCCCAAGTGCAGAGGAAGAGAAGCCTACCCGGTTCTGTCGATGGAAAGGTGGGCGGCAGCCCGTGCCTTTATACCTCCGGTGTGGTAAAGTTGTCCGGGTGCTGCACCCGTCCAAGAGTGGATGTGTACGCAACCACTGCGTTGGAAGCTACCCAATGAACGCGCGTTGTCGGTCCCCTCCCCCTGCCTCTTATGACTACCTTCTCTCCGTCCCGTCCCTTTCGGTCTAGTACCACAGTCAATCACGTGCGTTCATGCTGTCTATGGGCTGGGCCGTTGTGCCATGGCCCCCTATAAACCAAACTTAAGTAATAGGGGGCCTGGGTGTCCGAGTGACTCCCTCACTCTACCGTCCCTCCGCCTCCAGCTGCGGTACCTTTGACTCCCTCCAGTCGTGCAAAGACTCGCTCCGCTCAGACAGGCTCCGTCCCGTCGCGGGCCCAGTGTGTATTTTGTCCGTGTGCTTGTGCGGTGAAGTGACTTGCGTTTGTGTCAGTGTCAGTTGTATGCCCGTCGCGTGCCCTCCCGGCCACTGGCTCCTCTTGTGGTGTTGAGCTGTCTTGTGAACGCGTTGACTCAATCGAAGAATCGTGAGCGTGGCTCTTCACGTCGACCTTCGGCCTCCGTGCACCTCCTTCGGAGGTAACTTCCATAGTCGTGAAGGATCCTCCGGAGGTGATAATTACGATGTGGATTACTTGCAGTAGGTGTTCTTGTAAACGGGGTAGGGTATAGTATCTTGAGTGATGTTCTTGTAAACGCTTTGCGTATCTACGGTTTTGTTTCCTCCCTTGTCGACGTGGAGTGGCAATGAGCAGAAGAGCGTCAAATCATGCGTGCATTCATTTGGGTAAGAGGCGTGTCCTTGTTCTTGTTCTACAGCTGGGTGAAGCCCTCGGAACCAAGTTGAAACTATCGTCATATCCTACTCCGGTAAATGCCTACTCCACAACGCCGACGTTCGTAGGGTAAAAGACGAGAATGATGAGTCGATCTGCTACACCGCCCGTGTCGCCCGTGTCCTAATACCTAGAGCCATCTCAAGTTGCCGTTTCCTCGCATCCGACCTGCCCCTGCCCGATTCGCCAAGCTGTGTCAACAGTGCGTCGACCTGGCGTGCTGGCCGCAACCACCGGGTTAGCCAATAGGCCCAATACTACTAGTCATGGGAACGGGATTGACTCACCGGTCAAGGCATCCAACTCCTGTAATGTCGATGGACAATCCTGTATTACTTCCCCCGTGAGAACGCTGTAGAGAGGCGTCAGGCCGACACTCTCGTGGACGACGATGCTGTTCTGCATGCGCGCCGTGAAATTCTTGTCCCTGTAAGGCCTCAAGTCAGCAACCTCCTGCTGAAGAAAACAAAGGACAGACCAGACGGACAAAACGGTGATCTTGCGATCAAGTTTGCGGTCGAGATCATCCACCTTGCGATCCAAACCGTCGACCTTACGGTTCAATGTGGCAAGCTGTTGCAGCACAGCCTGCAGAGTTTCCTGCAACCGGGCCCCGCCATCTACTGCGGGAAGATTCCCACAGAGTGCGAACTGTTCCGACAAGGCATCAAAGCTGCCGGAAATAGTCTCAAAATCCGGCTGACGGGGTGCTGCTCTCGCGTCCATTGTTCCACTAATTGAGGCTGCTTGCGACGTCGGATCTCACCGATCGAGGTGAGTGTGAGAATGGACAAAAACGCCACTGGACGTTGTCGGAATCGCGTCACCCCAGTGACCCTCGACAGGCGTAACCCAAACACGGATTCCCTGCGTAGTCAGCTGACTCTGCTGCTTGCTTTCCTAAGCAAACCAGTCCCTCCGGAATATTGTTTGTCCCCATCCCGCAAAGGGGTATCCACTTACCCTGGATCACGTCCCTTTCCTCCTGGAAAAGTCTCAACGCACTTGCGTATTCCTCACGGAGTTTGAAAATAAAAGAGATGCGTGTCTTCCCGACCGTCGCTCTTCTCGGGGGCAGTGCCCCTTATGTATGTCCTCTCGCATCTCTGGTCGAGGAAAGTCGTCCGGGCTCTCAGCCCGTCCAGTTGTGGAGTCATGCAACCCTTTGGGAAGCTGACATGTGACGTAGCCCCCTCCCTCCGTCGGTACCTTCTTATGACGCAGTCTCTTCCGTCCCGTGCGAAACTGTTATGAACTACACTCTGATGCTCGAGTGTCTAGAGCTGGGCCATGGAGCAGAGGCCCCCTATAAACCAAACTTAAGCATATAGGGGGCCCGGGGGTAGAAGGGACTCCGCCCTTCCTCCTGTCCCTCGCCTCCTGCTCGGTACTGGTGACCTCCATCCTGTCGTTCAAAACCTCCCTCCTGTCGGTTTTTCTCGCTCCGCTCAAGCACCTCCCTCCGGTCGGGGTGGCCCAACGGGTACTGTTTGTATGTGTCTCGGGTGGTGAAGTGACTTAAGTAGGGACTGAGCGGGTGTTGGAGTGGTTGTATGTCCGTCGTGCGCCTTTCAGACGCCTACTCCTCTCCACTGGGTAATGATACCTTGTAAACGATTGACACGATTGAAGATGAGTTGACGTGACGCTTCGCTGCTGTTCACGTCCAGTCCTTCGGCCTGTCCGCACTCCTTCGGAGTAAATTCCATAGTGATGGAATGGCCCTCCGGGGGTGATCATTCGGAGTAATGTCTCTTGAAACAGTGTTCTTGTAAACGTTGAAGGTGTCCTTGTAAACGCCTCAAGTGACTTGGAGCGTGGAATACGTATAAACAAGGGTTAATCTACGTCTTGTGTGCATTCTCGTAAACGCTTAGGAAAAGAAGAATATCTCCTGTATGCGTGATGGGTGATGTTCGTCTACAACACAACATCTTAGGCCGAATGACTGGAAATGTCTATAAACGAGGCCAACACCCGAAAAGGGAAAGTGCCCACGAAGGGACCGAAAGCCAATCGCATTTGCTCATCCATACCCAATGAGATGCCAATTTCGTCACGTAAAGAAGACAAGCCTAAGCCAAATTGCCGACGCATCATACCGAAACTGCGCCTAATCATCCGTCACTGCCACTGCCGGAACATGGCAGACTCTTCGACAACCAGCGAGGAAACCCTTCCGGTGTTCAATCCAGGAGTCATGTGCGTCTAGGGACACGACCTCAAAGAAGGACGAGTCGGCCACCCGTAGTACCGGAGATAGCCTGCCGCCCCTGCTACGGGGACAGCCCAGGTATTTCTCCACCGCCCGTTCCAACTGAAGACCCGTCCAAGCGCCTGAGAGGGGACAGGCCATGTCGAGCAGAAGCACGATGCAACATGCATCGCTCCCCCGTGTGCCGGCGGAGCTCGAACTGTCTGATGCCGACGAAGGAGAAGGTGAACGGGGACTTTGCGCCCCGGGGAACCAAACATCAGCTCTCACCTTGAGTCGAGTCTCCAACAAAGACCAACACTGGTCCCTCCGACTCCCGTCTGGAAAGAGCAAATGAACCGCGAGGGTCGACCCCCCCGCTTGAACGGGCGTCATAGCATCCGCGTGTCGAAAAGCAGCGCAGGCATCGCCCGCGAGCTTCCGCAAGTTCATGTATATGTCCGCTCCCGCGTCACCAAAAGATTCCACGATCTCATCTCCATCGCTCGACCCCTCCCGGGGGCTGTGAGACTCCTGAACCGTGCTACTCGAATCCGAGCCAGAACCACTGTGGTAATGGACAAGAGGACGACGCCCGTCCTCATCGCTGACGTAGTCTGTCATGGCAGCCTGCTTGGCGGGTAGGGGACAGCACGAGAGCTAGAGAAATGTGCACTTGCACTAGAATCCTCAAGAACTTCCACGAGGTTTACCAAAGAAACCTGTGAGAAGATGCAGGCTTTCACTCCCGTTCAACTGAACTCCGTCAATCTGGCGGCGCATCCAACAGAAGCCAGTCAGAAGAACTTCTCTCGAGTTGGACTGGGCGAGACGTTGCTCTTATACCTCCCGCATCTAGCTTGTCCGGTTGCACCAACCCGGCCATGTGTGGAGCAGTCGTGGAAGCTGCGCAACCCGACCAAGTGTGACGTACCATGTTCTCTCCGCTCCATTGGTTCTTATGACTCACTTCTTTCCCCCCTGTCAATCCGTGCTAGTACTGCAGTGAATCACGTGCGTTCATCCTGCTCTATGGGCTGGGCCGTTGTGCCATGGCCCCCTATAAACCAAACTTAAGTAATAGGGGGCCTGGGTGTCCGAGTGACTCCGTCCCTCTCACAATCCTCGCCTCCAGCTGCGGTACCTTTGACTCCCTCCAGTCGTGCAAAGACTCGCTCCGCTCAGACAGTGCTCCTTCCAGTCGCGGGCCCAACGTGTGATTGGCTGGTGCGGGCTGGACGTGAGTGAGTGGGTGAGAGTGTGTTGCGTGTGTCGTTGAACTCACTCAGTCCGTCTCCACGTGTGTGTTTGTTCTCTGTCCGTCGCGTGCCCTGACGGACACTTGCTCCTCCTCACGGTGTATAATGATTCCCTTGTAAACGTCGTACTCAATCGAATATCGTGAGTGTGACTCTTCACAGCCAGTCCTTCGGCCTGTCTGCACCCCCCTTTGGGGGGATTGCCTCCATAGTCGTGAAGGAGTCCTCCGGAGGTGATCATTCTGTCCGTCCCTTGTAAACGAGGGTTGGTCTACTATCTTGGATGGCATTCTTGTAAACAGTTCAAGACAAGAAGTACGGTCAGAGTCATATCAAGATGGTTCACAGGTGGTCATGTATTCGTTCACATCAAGTTGCCCCATCATCACTCTTCGTGTAACTAGCCTAACACAAAATGAGGGCATCGTGGCATGCCGATGCAGCAAGTATTCCATCAATGCCGTCGCTGCGTAACCGAAGCGCAAGAAAAAAAAACATTGTCACGTCGCCCGTGTCCTGACTCCAAAAGCATGTCTTAGCTGGCGCCTCCGCTGGTCTAGTCCTCTTGGGACCGATTCACCCAACTCCCGTAGTAGGTCGGCCGCTTCCTGTGCTGGTGCCGTCTATCCGTCAGTAGACGTTTGCCAGGATGTGGGGGGGAGCACTCACAAGAAACATTGTCCAAGTCTCCCAGAGTCGCTGGGCAGCCGGGAATCGGGTTCCCCGTGCGGACATTGCAGAGGGGCGCCAAGTCGACACTCGTGAACGACGATGCTGTTCTGCATACGCGCCGTGAAGTTCTTGTCCCTGCCAAGATCCAGTTAGCTACCCGCATCGGGGAAAACAGCAGAGCGATGCTCACAAGACCGTGACCTTGCGGTCTAGGCCGTCCACTTTACGGTCTAAATCATCCAACTTCCTGTTAATCGTGCGCATCTCGTTCCGCAAATCGTTGCGCATGGCTTCCAGCGCTTGTGCGAGCCGAAGACCGCCATCGACTGCCGGAAGATTTTGACACCGCGAGAACTCCTCGGACAAAGCCGATAAACTGTCCGCCACCCGCGGAAAAGAGGGCTGTGGAAGGTCCTGCGCGGCCTCCATCGCTGAAGCAAAAACGAGGGCCAAAAAAGGCACTGCTGGGTGCTAACGAGCTGCGGTCTAGATCTGCCTGATCGTTGAGTGCCTAGGTGATGATTACCGTAGGTGCACCTGCCCCACGGATGCAACAAGAGGTTGTTGGACGTGTCGCGTCTCCGCAGTAACGAGTGCGCGTAGTCAGCTGACTCTGCTGCTTGCTTTCCTAAGCAAACCAGTCCCTCCGGACTTTTGTTTGTCCCACGCCGGGATGCCTACCCTGGATCAAGTCCCTTTCCTGGGGAGAAAACGATGCACTTCCGTGATCCCGACGGAAAAGTAAGAGAACAAGTGCCAAGGGCAAGTCTGCCCGACAGTCGCTCCGGCGGGGGATCGTCCCTTTTATCCATCCCTTTCCAAGGTCTTTGTAGTATCTGTCCGGGTCTCTCGCCCGTCCAGTTGTGGAGTCATGCAACCACTACGTGCAAGCTGACTTGTTGACGTGGTACAGTCCCTCCGTCCCGTACCTTCTTAACACCTCGTCCCGTCTATCCTTTCCGAGACTGCTAATAACTACATGGAAGCTAAAGCAACCTGTCTATGGGCTGGGCCGTTGTGCCATGGCCCCCTATAAACCAAACTTAAGTAATAGGGGGCCTTTCTGACAAGTGACCTCCCGTCACACAGTCCACCCGCCCTCCAGGCGTGTACCCTTTCGTTCCACTCAAGGGCAGTTCCTCCTCCGGTCGTCTCAACTCGCTCCGCTCGTGGGCCCAGCATGTGTTTGGGGTTTGTGTGTGTGCAAGTTGTCGTGTTTGTGTCCGTCGCCCTTCGGTTGCTCCTCCTGTCGCGTGAAGACCGGCTTGTAAACGTGTCTACTGAATCGAAGATGGTTGAGCGTGGCTCTCCACGCCCGAACCTTCGGCTCGGTCGCACTTCTGCGGGGATTGATTCCATAGTCATGAGTGGGTTGGAGATGAAGGGTGGTAGCCGGGGCAATGTGGTGAGCTTGTAAACGATTTTGATCTACGATGCTGGCGGTGTCACAACAATGCATCTTCTCGATTTGTATCTACTTCCCATACAACATCTTCCCCTTTGGCACACGATAAATCACGGCTGTCTCAAGCAAATACTGACCAATATCCTTGTCCTTGGTAACATCATTGTCCTCATTACAAGTCCAGATGACTGGTATA